AAACATTGCATGTATAAGTCCACGTTTTGGTATAGCCCCTATATAGCGGTACCTCCCGGCCCGGCCGAACTTACAGCTTTTATAATTATTACTTGTTAAAAAATAAAATTTCAGGATAATTAAATACAAGTCCATTCAGTACTTACAAAATATTGTTTTTGTCATTGGATCATTTAATATTTTTAAGTTGATATTTTACACAAAAATAAATCTTTTTATCCTTACAGATTCCATACAATAATCTAGCATTCGACATAATCCATTTCTTTAGAAGTGTATTGGTTTACATACTCTCCTCTATTTTTTGACAAGAACTTTAGAATATTGTGACTACTTATGCTTAAAATCTCCCCCTTTGGTTGTTATTCTTAATGTATCCCCGCTGGCAATTTACTAATTTATTCATTAAATCCTCAAACAAAGTTTCTTTTTCTTTATTATTATCTTTATAATCGTTTCATTATCTTCGCACTTAGCTCTTGTTCACAGCAAAAGACATTCCCTGTTGACAAGGCTACGACAGCGGATTTGACCCACTTTCGCTGCCACAAAAGCAGCCCACGCCGAATTGTAATGATTTAATTATAACGGAACCAAAACAATGACAATATAATTCATTTTCTGCTTAACGCTAAGACATTTAGTCGCCAGGATTGAGTTGGCGGAATTACAGGAGACACAGATGCAGGTGGAGGAGGAGGTGATTTACCTGATCCGTTCTAATAATAGAAGGCCCACACTTAATTAGAAAATCCCAAAGCAACCGGATGGACGAGATGAACGGGTTACCAAACAAGCAGGGCAGCAGCAGCATCATCCACCGTTCACCTCCATCCAAGCACCGGAGAAATTTAATCCTTTAAATGAATTTCTTTTGCGTTGCGAACGAGGCAACTTATTAAATGTTCATTTAGTACACAGGCAACAACAACAATGCCAAGTATTTGCATGACGCAACATCTAAATCACAAAACGCCATCGCCACCGCCACCGCCAATAATCCCAATGAACACGGGCAAAGGCGTCCAACTGGAGCAACAGGGCCAAATTACCAACTCTAATTAGCATCGAAAATGGAAATAACAAAAAGTGGCCGTGAATGGATGGATTTTGTTGGCCATGAATTTTTAGTGAATCGAAAACATGGCTTTAATTGGCACTAATACACAATTTGGCTAATGGTTGGCTTTTACGGGCATTGTGTGAGTGACTGTGTGTGTGTGTGTGTGTGCGGGAGCGAGTGTGTTAGCCTTGGAACTCTTATGAGTATTTTTGAATAATAGAATTTCAACAGAAGCCCACTCGTGGATTTAATTGCCCACTTGTTCGAATTTATAATGGCGAAACCATTTAGCAGAGAGGAATAGGAAAAGTCTACAATAGAACAATGCGGATACACACTCGGATTGAATGGTATTTATGGGTATTCTAAATTTGTATAGCTACAGAGGATTTATCATTATATCGTAGAGCTCTATGCGTTGGGGATATTATAAGTTTGATTGGACCAAAAAGTTTGTAACACCTCGAAATATTGGTTCTAGACCCATGATGTTATATATCGATTTTCGATTATATCCTAACTCGTCCATCGGTCCATTGCAACTATGGTCAACCCTCGCGAAATTAGATTGGAGTTAGATTTGGGTTAGGGTCTTAGTCGCTCCATATGTCACAATTATTGGCCGATCGATAGATAATTATGTGTGGGTTTAGAGTTTAGTAAAAGGAAGGAATTTAACATTTTGGATGACCGTTGTATAATATTGAAAAGGACAAAGGATCTCTTTTCTAATTCCCATAACCACGAAAGGGATCGTACACATAAAGTAATTGCCACGGAATTTAGCATTGTCCTATGATCTTCGCCATGTTCGAATGAAGTAATGCAATAATGACAACAATGACCTTAAAACGGTCATTACAGTCCAAAGGGTTTCAGATCTGCATAAACTTCACCGTAAACTGATGATGACCCATGATCGGGTCCGCCCAGCTGTAGTCTTTGCTTACTTGTTATATAAGCGATATTATTATCAGGGAAAATTTAGTTGAGAAAATATACAATATCGCCACACTTATTCTGGTACAACCCACTAATCGGTTTTATTTATCCTTATGTTCAAATTTCACATTTGTGCCATGTTCCCGAACCTACAAGAATCTACTATTTCGTAATTGTTGTTTTGAGCCCTGACGGCGACGTCACACGATACTCTTAGAACTTACGATAACGTTGGAAACCCGTTTTTACTTTTAAGAGAAAACACACACCCTCAAAATTGAAGAGTCAAGAGAACGTTAGGAACCCCACTCAACTCCAACAACGTGACGCTATACCCTTAGAAGTAAATATAACATTGGAAACACCTCTATTGGATATACGGTTATATCCTCAGCTTGTGGCTACAAAGGGTACATACCATTTGATATGTCAGAATGTGCCTCTTCGAAATAACGGATTTAGGCACTGCGTCATAAATCAGTTTCAGAACATTTGGAGTCTATCTAGCGATGTCAATTCTCCTCCCGAAAATGTCTTACAAAAAAAAAAAACAAAAATAAATAAATAAATAAAAAATAATATAATTAAAAAGGGCGCTACATGGTGAGATAAAAAACTGCAACAAAGTCAAACGCCATAATTTTTATTATTTTTTTTTTTTTTAATTTTATTGAATGAAAGCAAACAAATTCGAAAATAGCATCAAATTTTAGAATAAGTTTAGATTTGTTCGAATTGGTCACTTTTGGCACGAATTATGGCCTTCAAACGTCCAATGCCCGAATGTTGCTCTGCTGTATTTTGGCCCATTCCCGGCGAAGCGCTTGCTTGAAATGATCGACGCTTTGGTATTTTTTAGTGACAACCTTGCTTTCCAAAATACTCCTGACACAATAGTCAAATGGTATCCAGAGATTTTTTTGTTTCCATTGTTCTTGGGTGGCGCATGTTGAGTGCGATAGTGGTAAGTCCTGTTGGAATGTCCAAGGACTGCGGCCAAAATGTTTGCGTGCCCAAGGCTTTAACACACCCTCCAGAATATTTTCGCTATAATATTCGGCATTTATTCTGACGCCACGGTCGATTAATACGAGCGGAGAGCGACCATTTGCTGTTATGGCGGCCCACACCATCACCATGCCTGGCTCTTGAGTTCTGATGGCTAACCGAAGGTGCACATTTTCAGCTTACCCCTTTGGCAAGTAAAAACGTTCATTTTGGTTGTTTACAAACTGCTGGACAACGAATGTTTTTCCCAACGGAGAAAACCAAATTCGGCAGTTCACCGCTTTCGGTCAAGCGAAGCAACTCTTTAGCTCTTTTGTGTGTACTTTCTTTCTGTTGCAGTGTAAGTTCTTGCACTTTTGGAATTTCAATGGCTTTACCCCGAGCTCATTTTTCAGTATTTTCCGAATGGAATATTGCGATATGTTCAGCTCACGAGCCATTTTTCGGCCACTTCGCTTCATTACTTTTCGAACCATTTCTGCTGATGTTGCTGTTTTCCTCCGTCCACTTTCTTGACGTCGGGCTACGCTACCAGTATCACGGTAACGAGGATGGTACGAGACCCAAAAGATTTGTTCACATTTAAATACTGGAGTGCTCTAACGATAGCCACTTATGGTTTTCCAGCCAAATATCACGAATTACTTTTTTCTGGAAAGTTCTCATAAAAATGATTTTGTACGCTTGTAAACAATATAATGAGCTGTAACTGGAATAATTTCAACAGCTGTCGGACGAGTGGCTTAGAAATGACAGTAGTCTGTAGTTGGTTGCAGTTTTTTCATCTCATCCTGTATAGGGGCATATACGTAGACATGGACATGCAGTAATGTTTGTCATTGGTCATTGCGATATTCTAATATGGAACAATACCGATGAATAATGTCGCTAAAAGCATTAAAATATGTTTCCTAATAGTGACATACCTTTATGTGGGGCTGTACCAAAGCTTAGACCTTAGGAAGGATGTTGCCGATTCAAAGCGAATTCGGGTTGAAATTGTGACTAAAACAACCAAAAACCTTAAATCTGTCGGTACAGTTACATTTTATCTACCTACTACATTTCGTTCGGAAGCTAGAGAGATTTCTACAGATGGACAGACTGAAGGACAACGCTAAATTGACATAGAATTTTATGCCGATCAATGTACACACACAAATGTATATACCTTGTGCCGTCTAAAATTTATGTTTCGAGTTGTTACAAACGAAATTTCAAACTTAATATCCTTTCTATAGAAAAGGAAAATTCCCTGTACAGGTCCACATCTTCGTATATCCCCCATATAATAATACCTTCCGATATTTGGTAATTTCCACCGCCTTCTCCGGCAGAAGATTGGCTATACAGATCCACTGTCTTGTATGACCCCCACATAACTGATCCATCCGATATTCTGTATTTTAATATTTTTAGCGACAATTTTTTTGTGATTTTTTTTTTAATTTGGCAAGATCCACGAGAAGGTATACATAAATAATCGGTCAAAAGCTAAGGGTATATCTTAGTAACGATCATAGTTCGTGTGATTTACTTTCATAAATCAGCAATATAAATGTATAGTTGGTACGGGTAGCTCGGCTAAATATGCATAGAAGTATGGGACATCGAGTAGTCGACTTCGCCCGACTCTTATTCTTTCCTAAGCTTTATCCTTTCCTTACTGAGAGAGAGAATTGCAGGTAAAAATTTCGGAAAATTAAAAAAAAATTAACATAATTTCAAAAGAATTTAGTTTTATTCCCACTGTATCGTGGAAATTGGTATTTCCTCGAAATTCAGTACGAAGTCATTAAAATCATGTGAATGTTCCAAGCAATTCCTTACAGTCACGGACAATAAATGAACATCGCAAATATATATAAATATAATTTTATGTAAAAAAAATTGGCGTTAAAATACCTTAAATTGTCAAGTCACAATATGTTGTCAACACTTTTGTCCGACACTGTGTTTAAATAAGTAATCCATAAGCTAAACAAACCTTTGATTAAACGTCGATTGGTGGTGTTGATGCGATGCGGTTAGTCCTGACTTCGATAGGATGTTTCAATGTTCCTGCTGTTACTGCTACTTCTGCCACATCCACTGCCAATCTGGGTGTCTCTCTTCCTTATTCTCTCCCTCTCTCTCTAGATCTCTCTTCCCCTTCTTTCTAGTTATGTACGTTGGTGTGTGTGTGTTTGTTGTGGTTTCTAATTCATTGCCAGCACAAACACTTGAGCTCAACAACGACACACACTCGGCACCATTTCATGTTTTTTCCTTTGTCTGATCCGCTTGCAGGCTTTGGGCTTGGTTGCTGATTTGTTGGATTGTTTGTGTGTGTATATATTATTTTTGTTGTTGCTGTATTGAAAACTGAGCCAAGGCAATTCATCAATATTCGAAACTTTATTTGTTTAAAAGGATTTCCTTTCGCCTTTTCGTTTTTTGGTTGAGGATGTTGGTTATTTATTCTTGTTGTGTTTAAAACAAAGAATGCCAATCGAACTGAGCTGTAGAGGCAAAGAGAAATTGAAACGAATGCAAAATTAAAATGGGCAAAAAATATATTCAGTACTTTGATATTAAATATTTATTTTTATTTGTCTTTGAAAATGATTTAACGTTTATATTGTGGATTAGTGATTTGCGAAACTAAATTGTTACACTTAACTATATTCTTAAAGATGTCCAGAAAAATGCAATTATTCCAATATTTAAAAAAATATATAGATATTTATAATACAATTGCTCTGTCCCAGAACTACAAGAATGTAAAAGTTTTAACTACGATAATTAACTCTTCCTTTTTGATATCGAAAAAAAATGTCCAAACTTGTAGATTTTTGTAGGTTTTGGAACAGAGCAAACATAAACAATATTTATAAAAATTGATAAAATCAAAAATATACTTCAAACACCTTTTGGATTTGTGCTCTCCTGACCTAATTCCAAAAACTTCACGTAAACTTGGGATATATCCTTATACCTCGAAGACATCAAAATACAAATGTTCCGCCAAATCGACATAAGAAAACTAAAAGTGTATATTTATATGAGAGGTATACTTAACCGTAGACTAATATTGAAAATGTACATAATTACTTAATTTAAACTCAATATATCAACATTTACATATTTACTTGAAATCGTTTTTACTCCTACTTATACAAAAGTGGACCAAAACCAATGATTTTGGAAGTATAATGCGAATGTTGCAAAATATAGATGAAAATTTTGACCTTTGTGTGGCTAAGGATATATACAGGCCTTAAAGAGTTTGGTTGTCTTTGGTTTTGATTTACAAACCGCTTGCTATGAAATCCAAATTGAGTTTGCCAGACCCTAATGCTGGTTTGAGGGTCACATTTGGCTGGGATTTTGAAAATATGAACCAAAAATGCGATGCAAAGTCTCAAGGGCTTACTGTCGAATATCTCTAGCTCTTTTACATTAGTGGGTGACATGCAAAAGCAAACAGGAAGGTCATAAGGTACAAGTTGAGGAAACACACATACATAGAAATACCACAACGGTATGACAAAAACTAAAAGAGAATCTGATCGTTTTCGAGCAAATTATACTCTCGTTTATTCGAGCAAAATTGAAAAAAAAGAGTTTTGGTCGTTTTTTATGGGGGGGGTTCATTCCGTTTTTAACTCATCGCAATAATAATTTTAGACATAACAAATTATATATATTGATCAGCGTAAAATTCGAAGACTATTTATCCCTCTCCATTCGTACGCCTGTCCGTCTATTGTAAAATAAATTTCGTATTTAGAATTCGTAATAGGTGCTAGAGGTAAAATCGCGTATTCAGGTCCACATCTGCGTATAGAGTCCATATAAGGGTAACACCCAATATTTTGTATTTTGATAATTTTAGCGACATTATTCAACGGAATTGTTTCAAATATCGTATTTAGAGTTCGTAACTACAGTCTATGCCAGAAAATTGTCTATGCAGGTCCAGGTCTTCGTATAGGCCCCATAAATCAGTACCTCCCTATATTCGATATTTTGATGATTTTAGGTATAATATTCACTGAAATTGTTTGAAATTTCGTTTTTAAAGTTCCTAATAGGTACTAAAGCCTGTGACAGAAAATTGTCTATGCAGGTCCAGGTTTTTTGCTCCGATATAACAACACCTCCCTATATTCGGTATTTTGATTACTTTAGCTATATTATTCCCCGGATTTGTTCAAGTTTGGTATTTGAATATTGTAATGGCTTATGAAAAAAGTTGCCTATGCAGGTCCACGTCTTCGTATAGACGCCAATATAACGGCTATATTCGGTATTTTTAAGGTTTTAACAAAATTTTTTAAAAGATTTTTTTTTTTTTGAAAATTTCCAAATTCTTTCCAAATGGTGAAGGGTATTCTAAGTTCGGCCCGACCGAATTTTCTGCTTTTTTACTTGTTGGGACCTAAAATGCCTACTTCGAGGTGTTACAAACAGAATGGCAAACTTAGGGTATATTAAGTTTGCCATTCTGTTTGTACGGTGGTGGGTATAAAATCTTCTCAAACTAAAGAGCCATTATAAACTTTTCGGAAATTTGAGCGATCGCAAAAAAAGTTTAGAAAACATTAATTTAATTGAAATATTGACTGACTAAACGATAAAGACAAACAGCGCTGCTATAATTTATTTAATCTAAGCTCGCTAGAGCGTTTTATTTTATTAACTTACGCCTCCGTTAATGAACAATTAAATGCTTCCAATGTAACGTTTATTGCAATAATTAAGACAAGTTAATCGCTGTTTGATTTCCGGCGAATACGGCCTTTGGCACTGATTGTTCCTTCTCTCGAATGGCAACGATGGAATTAGTAGAAGTCAAATGTTGGACATTTGTTGCACACTTGTTGGGTATTTGGTAACATTTTGGAGAGAGAGAGAGAGAGAGAGAGAGAGAGAGAGAAAAGCGAAAAACTCTGTTGCTGACTCCGCACCATCAATGTCAAGGATGGATTTTGATTAATATTTAATATACATTAAGTTGTCTTATCATAGTTTATGACAGCCTCATATCTCGGTCCCTGTGATCAACATGCTAATGCCATTTTGTTTTTTTTTTTTCGTAACGGCTTGTTGCCATTTTCGTTGGTCTTGTTCAAACAATGAAATTATCTAATTTTTGTTGGGTTTTGTGAATAATATTAATAAAGTTATCGTTAAATTGATGAGCTATTGTTTTTGGTATCTCTGGCATACAAGCACAAGCAGAAGACATGCTGCCTGATGATATGGCTGCTTCTTTGTCTTTGTCCTTTACAAAGGCGCGCAGTCATCAATCATCAACACTCATCCCCGGTCCTGACACCATTTATAAATATCACATTGCGGAGGTTTTGTGAAACCTGCTATCAGCAGATACTGCTGCTGCCGCTGACACGCATTGCCACTTCGCTTCCGCTTTCTTTAAGATAAAAATGTGTTTACACCCACATATATACACAAATACATGTGTGTGTGACAAAAAAGAGATATTAATGGCATAAAGATATTGAAAGTGGTTCATTGGAATGTTACATGTGTGGGTTGAATAGGTTTCAATATTTTAAAGAAGACGATAGCTTATATTAAAAAGAAAATTAACGAAAGATATTTGTTGTTAAATTTTTCTTGGGGAAGGGTATGCATCCGCTTCCCATAGAACCAGCCGCAGGGCATAGATAGCAGTTAAGCTTTTCTCCGAATAATATGAATTAATTCCAAACTCCTACTAATCCGGCCACCCTGTTCAAACAAAATGACAAACACAATATTGCTAGAGCTGCCACATAATGGTCGCAATGAAATTATGAATTTTTGTCAGTTTTTCGTCTGGCGGTTTTTAGATTTTAAACTGTGAAATTAAAAATGTGATTAGAAATGGAGACGTAATCTTATCTAGCATCGCAAAGAAATAATGGACCAGTTGCAACGTTTCGATGTTCCAATAGATATACACCCTGAACATTTGACCTCTTGTTTACGTATTCCTTTTTATACCCTCCACCATAGTACGGAAATATACATTTAGACCCCACAAAGTACATATATTCTTGATCAGCATAAAAGACTAAGACAGCAAATTGTCTATGCAGGTCCACGACTTCGTACATTCGGCATTTTTAAGATTTTAACAGAATTTTTGAAGGTCTTTATTTTATTTTATTATTATTATTTTTTTTTTTTTTTTTGAAAATTGCCAAAATCGTTCCAAATGGTGGAGGATATTCAAAGATCGGGCCGGCCGAACTAACAGCTTTTTTTTATTGAGATTTAATGCTGCCTAATTGGAATATGCGAAGTTTGATTTCTAGAGTTATAATTGTTCAAAATTGTTATTTGGGGGAATGTATGAGAAGAGATCCAATATATCCATAATCGCCTCTGCGTATGTTTAATATGATTATTACCACGAATCAAGTTTGGACTATATCAAAAAGAGTAAAAATTGAGAGACTGACTGATTCATCAACGCCCAGGCGAAATTATTAAAATATGGGTCCATGCTGGTGGATAGATTACCCCATTCCTATACGGGGTTTTTGAAAATCCGGACTAGTAGTTTACTAAATGTACTAAAAAGCACTAAATTTCTAAATTGGTATTAAAATTAAGTTTGGGAAGTAGTGTTGATATAGGCATTGTTTAAGAATGCGGAGCCGCTTGTATATCGTCATATATAGTGACTGGTCCCACTGTCACTTGCCCTGGTACCATTTCGGCTGCCGTAGCATTTGTAATTAAGATTATATGAGTGTTTTATAATTATGTTAGGGCAGAATACGCCAGCGCCGTTGCCTTCGTTCATCTTGGAACAGTCTGTATATATGGACTGTCTAGAGGAGGTTCGTCACCAGTCTAGGCATCCCTATCAAGTATAGTAACATCAATGTAATTTAAGTCGAAAAAAGTGGCTATGCAATCTTTTTCTTAATATATTCCGACTAATTGGTAAGCCTAGGCATGAAGAGCGCCATCCTCTAGTTTCCCGTAGTATCAACGCAATCCTCGTTCATGGCAATTTAGTGATTGTTCTTGAGGGCTCCGGTTGTTGGACATTAACGCTCTGGGTTTATTCGCATGCAATCAGACGAGACACTCATGTGTCAAAAAAGGTAAGGCCAATGTGAAATACATTCAATTTATTAATTATGGTCTAAGCCTCCAGCTCTTTCCCTTGGCGTTCCTGCATGAAGAGAGTGTAATGAGGCTCTTTTTAGTACGCTTCCAATGTTCCAGTTTAAATGCTCGTTCAGGATCGTACTGAGATATTTGCACACGAGGAGATATTCAGTGTAACCCCATCCAGTATTAGAAGCGAAAATTTTTCTATTTTGAGTTTCTTTGTGAATAGTGCAAGTTCTATCTCTTAACCATTGTCCAGAGCCAGAACCAGATAACTGTACTAGTAAACTTTGCATTAGGAAGAAATCTGCTACTTATGAGCATATGCTACTGCCTTTATTCGAAGCTGGTTGAAACTCACAAGAATTTCGAGAGAGGGAAT